CCATCCTCACCCACCCTATCCCCTTCCATACCCCCATCCTACCCATCCCCCTTCCCTACCCCGATCCTCACCCACCTATCCCTCCATACCCCATCCTACCCATCCCTCCCCTCCCCTACCCCGATCCTCACCCACCCTATCCCCTTCCATACCCCCATCCTACCCACTCCTCCCCCACCCCCTTCCGGCACGACTCACGCAAAATGTTGGCGCAACATTTCTATTGAGTCGCCTACAGGACCCCCATAAACATGTCCTGAGGCTGGGAACCAAACAGGCTGCTCCACACCTTGGGCCGTTTGCAACTTCGCGAACGGCCGATGCGGACATATTTCTCAATGCGGAAAGGGAGGTGTTTAGGGCCGGGCAGACGGAGGTCCGGAGGGACAGTGAGTAAAGGGCCGCATGCAGGGGGTGAAAGGTCATAGGGGACGGGGAGAGGAGTGGGCACGCATGAATAGGGGAAGGGGCAGGGGCTTTGGGGCGGGGGGTGAAGGGTAGGGGCTTTATGGGGGAGGTGAAGGGGCAGGGGCTTTGTGGGGGAAGGTGAAGGGGCAGGGGCTTTGTGGGGGGTGAAGGGGCAAGGGGAAGTGAAGGGCAGGGAGGTTTGTGGGGGGGGGAGGTGAAGGGGCAGGGGCTTTGTGGGGGGAGGTGAAGGGGTAAAGGGGCTTAGAGGTTTTTCATGGGCAAAGGTTACGCGGAAAAAGGTGAAAGGACATGGGATCCGTACAAGAGACAAGGGTAGGGGCCCGAATGGGCACAAGGTTTAAAGGGGTATGTGGTACTGGGATAGAGAGTGGGTAGGTGAGGGGAAAGGGAGCAAAATGAGATAAGGTGTAAGTGGATGAGGTGAAGGGAATAGGTCGATCTCGAGGAAAATAGAGGGCAAAAGGGAGAGAAAACGCGCTAGTACAACGGGCATGATATGGGATGGAATGGCGCTGAGAAGAACGGGGTCTGGCGCCTTTACGTGATCCAGACTCGCGGGTATGGGAGCCTTAAATGTGCTCTCTATTTACTCTTTCTATCTTTGTCTCTCTCATATATATATATATATATATATATATATATATATATATATATATATATATATAATATATATATATATATATATATATATATATATATATATATATATATATATATAATATATATATATATATATATATATATATATATATATACATACATATATATGTATATATAGGTAAGTATTATATATATATATATTATGCATACATACATACATATATATATATATATATATATATATATATATATATATATATATATATATAATATATATATATATATATATATATATATATATATATATATATATATATATATATACATACACACATGTATATATGTATGTGTATATATATATATATATATATATATATATATATATATATATATATATATATATATATATATATATATATATGTGTGTGTGTGTGTGTGTGTGTGTGTGTGTGTGTGTGTGTGTGTGTGTGTGTGTGTGTGTGTGTGTGTGTGTGTGTGTGTGTGTGTGCATACATATATGTATATATCCTCCTTCGAATTATATACACATATACACAGAATTATCATATATCAGTTCCTGATACTGCAATGTATTACAGAATCTATAACCACACCATTGTTCACTTCAGTTCAATGAGATTTGCAAAGGCGAGCTCCATCCGAGCTTATTTTATGACTCGAAAAGAACAGCATTACATTGTATAAAAGAGCCAATTCCATATTTACTCTCTTTTCACTACCTCTCACTTTCTCGTTCTCCCCCACTCCCTCCCTCCTTCTTTTGTCTCCTACTAATTCCTCTTATCTCCTACCTCCTTTTCTTTCCCCTTCTCCCACTTCCTATCTGCTTCTCTTCATCCTCTCACTTTCCTATCTGGCTCATTCTCATTCTCTCTCTCACACTATAACTCCTTTCCTTCCTCTAACTCTCTTTCTCTCCTTCCTCTTCCCTTCTTTCCCTCCTCCTTCCTTCTCTCTCTCCCTTCCCCTTGTCTCTTCTCTCACCCTTTTTCCTTTCTCCTTGCCTCTCTCCTTCCTACATCCCCGTCTCCCTCCTCTCTTCCTCCTCCCCTTTCTCCTTCCTCTCTCCCTCCTCCTTCCCTCTCCCTTTTCTCTCACCTCTTTTCCTCCTCATTCCCTATCTCTCTCCTTTTCTCCCCTCACTCCCTACTCCATCCCTCTCTCTTCTTCTCCTTACCCCCCCTCTCTTGATCCTCCTCCCCCCCCCCCCTCGACTTCCTGCCCGCCCTAATTTAGATCACTGACCCGCCAGAGCACCTGCACGAGTCCAACCCAGTTAATGATTGACGTTAGTGTTTGCAACGTGGCAATCGATAGACCCCATAGATCTTGCAACAGGGAGGAGGTGGTAGGGAGAGAGAATCAGAAATCATTCAGCGGTATTGCTCCGTGTTCGATTCTGTGGGCTAGAGAGGGGGTGACTGTGGGGTGGGGGTGGGGGTGGGGATTA